TACTACTACTACTACTACTACTACTACTAACTACTTACTACTTACTACTTACTACTTACTACTTACTACTACTACTACTACTACTACTACTACTACTACTACTACTACTACTACTACTACTACTACTACTACTACTACTACTACTACTACTACTACTACTACTACTACTACTACTACTACTGCTACTGCTACTACTAGTACCCGACCTGCTCGAGTTCCTATCGCTTAGAAGACATGCCACGCCCGCAGTGCCTTGGAAGCCTGATACAGGTATGCATGGCCTCGAGAAAGCGCCACACCTGTCGTGCCTTGCGCGCCTGCAGCGGATTGAGACCGCACCCCCTGCGCACCCCTTCTGGTGTCCAGAAAGTGCAACGCCCGCCGTGCCTTGCGAGCATGCAGCGCATAGAGCCCGCACCCCCTGCGCACCCCCACTGGTGTCCAGAAAGTGTCACGCATGCCGTGCCCTACGAACCTGCAACGCGTGGACCGCACCCCTTGCGCACCCCCTCTGGTGTCGAGAAAGCGCTGCACACGCCGTGTCCTGCAAGCCCGCAACGCATAGAAACCGCACCCCGTGCGCACACCCTATGATGTCGAGAAAGTGCCACGCCTGCCGAACCTTGCGCGCCTGCACCGCATAGAGACCGCACCCCCTGCGCACCCCCTCTGGTGTTCAGAAAGTGCCACGCTTGCCGTGCCCTGCGAGTCTGCAACGCGTAAAGGCCGCCCCTTTTGCACACCCCCCGTGGTGTCGAGGAAGTGCCACCCTCGCCGTGCCTTGCGCGCCTGCAACGCATGAGGCCGCACCCCGTGCGCGCCCCCTTTGGTGTCCAGGGAAAAAAAAAACGCCTGCCGTGCCCTGCGAACCTGCAGCGCATAGAGACCGCACCCCCTTCGCACCCCCTCTGATGCCGAACAAATGCCACGCCTGCCGTGCCCTGCGAGCCTGCAACGCATAGAGACCGCACCCCCTGCGCACCCCCTCTGGTGCCGAGAAAGTGCCACGCCTGCCGTGCACTACGGGCCTGCAACGCGTAGGGACCGCACGCCCTGCGCACCCCCTTCTGGTGCCGAGAATGTGCCACGCCTGCCGCGAGCCTGCGGTGCCCAGTATGTGGCGCATGCGTTGTGGATGTGTGAGGCAGTGAGCACGCCAAGCGTGCGCTGGCGTTGTTAGTGTGAGAGAGAGAGAATGTGTGTGTGTGCGTATGTGTGTGTGTGTGTGTGTGTGCGTGGGTGTGTGTGCGAATGTGTGCATGCGCGCGGCTGCATGTAGACGCGCGTCTCATGTGCATGCCGTGCATGCGTTGCGCGTGGACAAGGCGAGAAGGGAAGAGGAGGTGAGGAGGGCGGAGGGAGGAGGTGAGTGAGGGAGACGCGGGTGCGACGCGGGCTGGAAGAACACAAGCCCTGCAACGCACAGCGCCCCCACCCTCAGCGCACCCCCTGTGGCGTCGAGGGAATGTCACGCCTGCCACGCCCTGCGAGCCTGCAGCGCACAGCGCCCCCACCACCCGAGCACCGTCTGTGGCCTCAAGGAAATGCCACGCCTGCCACGCGCTGGGAGCCTGCAACGCATAGCGCCCCCATCCCCAGCGCACCCCCTGTGGCGTCGAGGATATGCCACGCCTGCCACGCCCTGCGTACCTGCAACGCATAGCGCCCCCACCCCCAGCGAACCCTTATGGTGTCGAGGAAATGCCACGCCTGCCACGCCCTACGAGAATGCAACGCAACGCGTCCCCACCCCCAGCGCACCCCCTGTGGCGTCGGGCAGATGCCACGCCTGCCACGCCTTGGGAGCCTGCAGCGCATAGAGCCGCCACCCCCAGCGCACCCCCAGTGGCGTCGGGGAACTGCCACGCCTGCCACGCCCTGCGAGAATGCAACGCAACGCGTCCCCACCCCCAGCGCACCCCCTGTGGCGTCGAGGAACTGCCACACCTGTCACGCCCTGCGAGCCTGCAACGCATAGCGCCCCCCCCCACTCCCCCAGTGCACCCCCTTGTGGTGTCGAGGAAATGCCACGCCTGCCACGCCCTGCGCACCTGCAAAGCATAGCGCCCCCACCCCCAGCGCACCCCCTGTGGTGTCGAGGAAGCGCCACGCCTGCCACGCCCTGGGAGCCTGCAGCGCATGGCGCCACCACCCCCAGCGCACCGCCAGTGGCGTCGGGGAACTGCCACGCCCTGGGAGCCTGCAACGCATAGCGCCCCCATCCCAGCGCACCCCCTGTGGCGTCGAGGACAGGCCACGCCTGCCACGCCCTGGGAGCCTGCAGCGCATAAAGCCCCCACCCCCAGGGCACCCCCAATGCGCGTGTGTGTTGTGTGGTGTGCGTGTCATGTGTCAGATGCGTGTGCGGCCGTCTCGGGACGTGTGTCCCATGTGGGTGCCCGCTATGTGGCGCACACGTCGTGGGTGTATGATTTAGTGAACACGACAGGAGTGCACTAGCGTTGTATGGTGTATCTGTTCATGTGTATGTGTTTGATGCGTGTGGGGCTGTTTCGGGACGCGCGACCATGTGGCTGCCCAGTCTGGTGTGCATATCTCTTGGGTGCACGATGCAGTGATCACGCCAGGCGTGCCCTAGCGTTGTTGTGCAGATCTCTTGGGTGTACGATGCAGTGAACACGCCAGGCGTGCACTAGCATTGTTGGAGTGTGTGTGTGTGTGTGTGTGTGTGCGTGTGCGTGTGCGTGTGCGTGTGGGTGTGTGTGTGTGTGTGTGTGTGTGTGTGTGTGCGTGCGTGTGCGTGTGCGTGTGCGTGTGTGTGTGTGTGCGTGTGTGCGTGCGCACGCACGCCAGACGTGTGTGTTGCGCGTGGCTGCAGGAGGAAGGAGGAGGAGAAGGGGAGGGAGGCGGGGGTGTGAGTGAGACGCGGGTGCGACGCGGATGGGAAGAAAACCAGGACCCCACTAAACATGTGGGGAATAAAACAAAACAGGGAATCGCGCATCCGGGTAACATTTGTGTCAGATCGATGTTTGTGTTGCGCGCAGTTTGCGTAGTGCTGAGCACGTGCTGGCGGTGGCGGGGTGCCATGTGAGCTGCGGCGTTGTTTTGCACAATTACGGTTTCTTGCGCGCAGCGCTGCGCGCAATAAGAAGTCAATAGCTGCTAACGTGATCGGCCAGTAGGATGAGTTTACGAACTTACTCGGTAATCGGAATTTCGGGGGCGGCCAAGAGGGGGGTGTCCAAGAGGGGGGGGTGCAAATCATGGCCGGCGGCATGTGCGCGGCCCAGGGGGGGGGGCAGGGACGTAATGAAATCAGAAGAGGCGCCATGAAATCTGTGGAGATAGCATGGCCCCCGCCATGATATACACCCCCCCCAGTCATCACCCCCCTCTGTGCCTCCCCCGAGGACTACACCTCTCTGGCAACAGCTCAACACCTTCGCGAACGAAGACAGTGCGCACCGCCCGAGCGAGAAAACGGCCCCACCCGAGACACGTCATGAGGCACCGCTGAGGTGCAACCTGCCTGGCGCGCGCGAGTCATGCTGCACTCGATGTGCATGTGGCACAGCCCGTAGGACGCAATATTCGGTGGCAGGTCATGGGAGCCTCCCGAGTCTTGCCGGCTCTTGCGAATCGATGGCTGCCGACGCCAAATCGTCACCAATCGACGCTAAATCGACCCTAACCGACGCTGAATCGGCGCCATCTCATCGACTCCCAGATGCAATTTGACGCCGAAGTCGGAATTCAGAGGGCATCATACCAGGCTCCCACGAGTTGCGACCGAACGCACTAGTTATCGATATCATGCAATCCCCCCCAGTGTCCTCTCCCCCGGCCCGCCCTCGTGAGCGGCCATGACCACTGGAAAACGGCCGCGGCATCGAAACCAGACAGTGTCTCTAAGCGGCCTCACCTGGGACCCGCCGGGAAGGATGGCAACACATGGTCAGCTCGTTTCCCGAAGGATTCCGAAGCCTGACCGCCACCAACATCAACGCTGCTGCGATGAAAGGCATCGTCGGGAATGACCTGCTCGTGCGCTACAAGCTTTCTAACGTCCTTCGTGCCAGAGTACACGTCTGGAGGGACGTTGCGAATGGCTGCCGCGTCCCCGAGGTGCTGAGGAGGAGGAGGCGGAGGCGGAGGCGGAGGCGGCGGCGGCGGCGGCGGCGGCGGCGGAGGAGGAGGAGGAGGAGGAGGAGGAGAAAGGAGGAGGAGAGAGGAGGAGGAGGAGGAGGAGGAGGAGGAGGCGGCGGCGGAGGCGGCGGCGGAGGAGGAGGAGGAGGAGGAGGAGGAGGAGGAGGAGGAGGAGGAGGGGGAGGGAGGAGGGAGGAGCAGGCTTGAAACAGCAGGCGCAGCTCACTGGTAGCATGGACGCTAGGGCTCTCGCCGTCCAGGCTCTCGGTCAAGCTCAAGCGGCACGCTGGATGCTCCTGAGAGGCATGATCCGGGGGCGCGCAAATATGGATTAGCGATCCATGGATTTGGCGCGCGGTCGCCAAAAACCCATGGATCGGGGGAAGTGCCCTCCCCAAATGCGGCCGGTGCCGCCTCGTTCGGCGGCGGAAATCCGGGATTTCCCACGGAAACAGGACCCGTCGCTAATCCACGCCCCCCTAATCCATGTTCGCGATCGTCTGAACGATTGCGAGGCGGGAATTTATCCATATCCACCGCCTGTGAACCGACGCCCTGGTGCCCCAGCGGGCGGTGGATGTGGACATATTTTGGCCCCCGAGGGCCCGAATATATCCATATCCACCCCCGCCGACAGCCCCACATCGACCCCCGTGGCGGGCAGCCACCGCGCGCCGAAGGCGCTCCGACCCCCGTCGCGGCGCGACGACGAGGCGAGGCTGACCCCCGTCGGGGGGGGTACCCTCCCACGCTTATTAAGAAACCCAGAGTACTCAAAGCCGTCTCGGAGGTCCGCGAGGATCGATCCCCCACGCTTGCTAAGACACCCAGAGTGTTCAAACCCGAATATCTCTATATGCACCGCCCGTGGAGGTCCGCGAGGATCGATCCCCCAGGCGGTGGATGTGGATAAATCCCCGCCTCGGAACGATGGCAACTACTCAAAGCCGTCTTGCGGACTCCAGCCCCAGTGGTTCCACTTGTGAAGGCAGCGCGGTCCTTCCTGATCAAATCCCACCAGGCCTCGGGGCGCAAGTGGTCTGACGAGTTCATCCTTGCCTCTTCCAAAGCCCCCTTCCCTTCTGAGAAGGGGTACCCTCCCCCCTCCCCTCCCTGAGGCTGTTGGGCCCTGGTGGAGAGATGGCTCCCATAGGGGGCCTCCGATGCTCAAAGATGGCCTCCTGTATGGCTCAAGACAGCCGAGAATAAATAGTTCAAGATGGCCCAGATGCTCTCGGAGCCCCCCCACCGGCCCCCCTCCCCAGGAGGCCCAAGTCCTTCACAAGCCTTGGGCACAAACGTTATGTGTGCCTTCTCGCCATGTCGCTTCGGGTGAGCTTCGGAGGCCTCAATCTGACCCCACAAGAGGCCCCCAAGGCGGCCCCAAGGGCGCCCAAGATCAGCCCAAGAAAGCCCCAAGAGAAGCTGATGAGTGCTGTTCTTGAAAATGGGAGGCGGATCCGGGACCCCTCTCTGTCGACCCACGCTCCACATGATAGCTCCAAGAGGCCTTCCAGGGTTCCCAAAAGGACCTCAAGAGGGCCCCCAAAGGGCCCCGAGACACTTCAAAAGAGCCCCATGAGGACCCCAGAACCTTTCACGAGGCCCCAAGAGGGCCCCAAAGAGGGCCCCAAAGAAGACCTCAAGAGGGCCCCAAGAAGACTCCAAGATGGCTCCAAGAGTTCTTGTCCTCGTTGTCCTCCTTCTCTTCTTCCTCGGTTTTCCTCGTCTTCATTCTCATCCTCGTCTTCGTTTTCGTCGTCTTCTACCTCCTCGTACTCTTCCTGCTCTTCCTCCTCGTACTCGTCCTCCTCTTCCTCCTTGTCCTCCTCCTCATCCTCATCGTACTCGTGATCATCCTCGTTCTTGCCCTGGTCGTTGTCATCCTCGTCCGCCTCCTCCGTTTCCTTCTCTTCCTCGCTGTCCCCAAGAGGGTCCCGAGAGAGCCCACAGAGGAGCACAAGAGGGTATCAAGAAGACCCAAACAAGGGTCCTTCGGAGCGGCTGTCCCTACACTTCTCCGACCAAGGTAACTCGCCTGGCGATCACTTCTGGATGGGCTGGTGGGGATATGCGAGGCGTCAAGAATTGCAGACATACATGTGCCTTTGGCGTCAATTTTGTGGCTTCCTCGACACAGCCAGACAATTCGACGTGTGGCTCCCAGGAACTCTCGATTCAAGTCCATGGGTCTGGTTCATCATCCGATGGTTTTGGATGGTTCGGGGCCTCCGGAACCGACTCTATACACGAATTTGTTGGAACTCCCCCTGGGTCGATTTTTCAAGTCGCCAGATGGCTCGTTGGGAAAATATTCGCCAGATCAGTCGGAGGAGGTGGAGCACCCGCGCAGTGCTGCGCGAAAGCCCAGGCCCCTGGCTCCTCCAAATTGTGAGCCTCGTGGCTTGCTCTGACATTGTGGCGCACACCTTACGTAATTATCCATATCCACGCCCTCGCGGTCTGGACTTCGGAGCGCAATCACGTGGATACGCGGTCGCATGGCTATGCTCCGCGAGGAGCATCTTCGAAAATACGCCCCGTATCTATGGGGTCGCGGCCCAGGGGCCTGGCCCGCGAGGCCGTGGATACGGATATTGTTCCCGACCACGACGTCTGCCCTCTCCCCAGATGCAAGGTGTCCTCCCTCAACGCCCCCCGCTCGCACCAGGCCAGGGCGTGGTCGAGGCTGTCGGTGATCTGGCAGCGGCCTACCTCGAGGCACCAGGCTGGGAGCGGGGAGAGACCCGAGCACGCACGGCGAACACAGCGTCGGCCCTGCCGCTTCCCCACTGGCAGCACACGGCGAAAACGCGATTGGCTGAGCAGTCGCAGATTCCGATGGCTTGATACGCGGAAGAAGTAACGCGTGACTGATAGCGTTGACGCCTCGTGAGCGAGCGATCGAGCCACCAATGCGGACAAATGTCCGGGCCGACCTAGGACCTGGTGGGGTGGCCGTGGCCTCCAGAAACCTAATCGATGAGCTACACGCAATCATGCAAATGAACGATGAGCTACACACAATCATGCAAATGAACAGCGAGACAATCAAACAAATATGACGGAAGCGGGGGGGGAGAGGGGGGAGGAAGTCCTCGATGTGGAAGTCGGCGTTCTGTCGTTACGTGAGGGGGAGGCTTTACAACGTGTAAGAGCAACTTCATCCCAAACCCAACCAAAACCCAACCGAGACCCAACCAGAATGCGGGCAAAACATGTGTATTTTGAGCACCACCTACACGGGTTTTGGCCGCATTTCCAACCAGAACGAACCACAAGCCAACCGAGATCGGCTTGACACCGTGTAGGTGCATCTGGTTGTCTTCTGGTTGCTTTCTGGTTGGTCATGGGTTGTTCTGGGCGTCCTAGCCGCTCACGTTACACGTGTTTAGGCCGCATTTCTAACCAGAAACCAACCAACTTCAACCGAACAGCACTTACACGTTGTAAAGCCACTTTACACGTTGTAAAGCCGAATTCTGGTCGTTACGTGGTGTGTATGTGTTGCCGTTCTAATGTCGACCAAATGAAGATGTCTTGAGCCGTGCGGATCCAAACCTTGCGAACGTTCCCGGGAAATCACTGCTTGTAAAGACTTCCCCTTGGGGGCAGATGTTCACGCCAGCCTTGAGCCCATCACCAAAATCGCAATGAGCAATGCATGTGTTACTACTTGACTCCAGCGGTGCCCTATCCCTGGCATCGGGAAATCATGAGGACGAGCACGCGTTGCGCTTACCCATGGTAGTAACGAGTTATCCTGGACACGATGCTGAGTCATGATGTCAAGACCCCATTCCTGAGCAAATGCTCACATGCACCAGACAGCACCCTTCGTATGATAAGAATATTTAGTGGGTGACACAATATGTGATTTGCAGTGGACACAACTTCAATGCAACTTGTGGGTGCCAGCAATATTACTTATCCACCCTGGGCTCCCAAACCTATCCGCACTGCGAGCCCGATGGGCCCCATATGGCCTGTAAGAATCATCGGGCGCTTACGGATTGGGGGCTGATAGGTGCTTATCGGGCTCATGGGGCCCATATTCATTGTAGGCCTTGCAAGTCCCATCATGCTTCTAGGGCTTATCAAGCTCACATAACTGGTGTTGCTCACCTAGCGGCGCATCGGGCTGCTCCCATGTTCCCCCAAACCGTGCTTGCACTTTGGAGCTCTCACTCGTATAACGAAATTACAAGGAACCGGGCTCGTGTGCCGCCCCAGCTGGGCTGCTCGACTACACGCAAGAGTGGCCCTGGCTCAGGGTGACATTTGGTGCTCGGCTTTTTGGGGACCTCGGGGGGGGGGACTCCTACTCGCCGAGCGCGTTCCACTACTCGCAAAGTGCCTACTCGCAAACGTCCGATAAACACATGCCTGCTTTGATGTAATTGATCGTAGATCCCCCTCGGCGGATCCAGGCCATTTGCGAGTAGCTACTTTGCGAGTAGTGGAACGTGCTTGTCCAACTACCGCACCGCGCCCGGCGATCCCGCGAGGGGTCACTCTTACGTGTAGTTGGATTTGGGCGGCGAGCGCGGGGGGGAAAAGGGAAGGGGCGGGCCTTTTCAGGAGGCGCGGAAGTCCCCCAGCCTTATGAAAAGTGTTCTCTGGAAGATGCAAAAACAACTTCTCAGAAGGCGCGAGGGCCTCTGAGAAGTCCCGCCGTTTTCTGAGAAGGCTTTTTCTCCTTCTCACTCCTCCGCCTCACTCACCGACGACCCTTTTCGATCTCGTGCGTACTTCTTCGCAAGATGACCCCAAATGCTCGTCGATGGCCCTTGGCCTCAGGACCCGCTCTAGGACGGCACCACCTCCTATACACGCCGATCATGGCCAGGATCTTCCTGGGCCCTGTCGCCGCCGAGAATTCTGGCCGCCCCGCCGCCGCCCGTCGCCGCCGCCCGCCCATGCAGCCCGCGTGCCGGTCTGCCCGGACCCGTGGCTGCTGGTCGCCGGCGGTCGCCGCCGCCCGTCTGTAGGAGCCCGCGGCGCCGGCCTGGCCAGCCTGTGGCCGCCCGCCGCCGCCGCCCGTCGAACCGCCTGTTTGTGGGTCGCAGTTTCGATGGCGCACGCCTCGTGCTTTCCAGGAGGGGACTGGACTCTCCCCCCCCCCCCGGGGACTACCCCCTCCCCCTGCATAATACAATTTGCATGTGACTCTGGCTCAGCGTTCGTTTTGCATCTGACTTCATGTCATCCCAGGGAGTGCCCGGACTGCCCCCCTCACCCCCGTCCAATAATAGTATGCACGCGCACTCGTTTACGCATTGGGATGCAATTCGATGCAAAGCGGTGCAAAGCAACGCAGTGCAAAACAACGCAAAGCAACGACAATGCGAAGCAATGCGAAGCAATGCGAAGCAATGCACAGCAATCCGAAGCAATGCAAAGCAAAATGACGACGGGCGGCAACGAGCTGGCCGGACAGCCACTGGCGCCCAGCCGTGACCGCGGCGACGAGCGGCGAGGGGCGGGAACGAGCTGGCCGGACCGACGCTGGGGCCCAGCGGCGACGGCAGCGACCTGACGGCGACGACGGCTACATAGCCGTCAGACCGCCACTGCAGCCCAGTTCCGGGCGGTGACAAGACGGCGGGAGGCAACGAGGCGGCCACGGCGGCCACATGGTGGCCAGAGCGGCCCGCAGGTCCAAGCGACGGGCGGCGACAAGGCGGCCACACCTCAGGAAAGAATTAAGAGACCCTGAGTTCAAGCACCGTTTGGGGAAAAACACATGTACAACAATCCCATGCAACAAGTTTGACAAAGTCCACACGTGCGCGTCGTCGCGCGCGCATGTCGAAATCCGTCCAAAACACAAGACGGCGTAAGGATTTTAAGGTTGTTCTCGAAAACCTACGGATAACAGAAAAAGATGTTCGAAAGCACGAAAACCTAATCATCTGCGTGCTCTTGCATTTCCTCTGGGGGGGGGCCATAGCTGACAATATTTGAGAGAACGGGGGGGGGGGTTCGTGGATGCTTGCTTGAAGAAACAACATCCCTTGACTCGTCGGAGCCGGTCCCCCCCTCAGAAAACCATGTGGCGTGCCCGGAGCATGCCCCCCACCCCTCTCTTGGACACTGGCCTCTCTCTCTTGCCGGGACCCCTTATCCCTTCCATGAAGGGGGGGGGTCGAACCAGCCTCACGTCCATCCCCCTGGATTTCAGGGGGAGGGTTCCAGCCCGCTCCCTTGAATTGCAAGAACGACAACGACGACGACAGACAACTGACAAATGATGCCAGACGACGACAAGCAGGAAGGGAGGGACCACCAATGCCCAAATCAGCTTGTAAACTATATCAGCCAGTGTTGCCGCCATATAGAAACATATACCCTCCCTCGAATTACCATTTTTCCGCTTGACTCTACCCTGCTCTACGCTACGCTACTTTACGCGATGTGCTCTCCTCTACTTTGATATGGTAGACGCCGCTCTGTTCTACACTACCCTACCCTGCTCTACTCTACCGTACTCTATTCGATTCTAGTCTGTCCTACTCCACTCTAGCCGACTCCACTCTACTCCAATCTCATTGACGCAACGCTATGCTACTTTACCCACTCCTCTCTACTATACTCCACTCGATTCTGCTAGGCTGTACTCTACCATCGACACTACTTCACTACGTTAAAACGATATACTCTTACTCCACTCTGCTCTAGACTACACCTCCTCCACACGACTCTGGTAAACGAAAGAACGCGGACCGCAGAGGAAACCGTGTGAGTGGTCTGGGCGAGGCGATGCGGATAGCAGACGAAGCCATGCGGGCAGTCTGACGAACCCTAACAGATTGTCCTCTACCCTGACCCCACGATGCTCTACTCTACTCAACTGTCCGCCTACTCTACCATATACTTCTCCACTCTAGTATACTGTAACCTTCCCTGCTCCACTCTACGCCACTACTACTTTGATCTACTCTATTCTACCTTACTCTACTCCAGCAGAGGAAGCCATGCAGATAGCCTTTACGTCTACTCGACTCTACTCTATTCTGCCCCACTCCTACTCGAATCTATTGTACTTGCACTCTACTCTATACCCCCACTCTGTTTTAACCTATTCTACTCTACTCTGCCCTATTCCACTTTACTCTGAGCCAGCAGAATCTAGTCTATCCCACTTCCCTTCCCATTCACTCTACCCCACTGCTGCTCTGAACAACACTACTCGACTCTGCTTTTCCTTACGCTACCCCATTCTACTCCTACTAGACTTTGTTTTCATCTGCTCTCCCCTATTCCACTTTGCTGTAGTCTCGCTGACGAAGCCGCCGCCGCCATCGTTGTCGTCGCCGTCGAATTGCCGTCGCCGTCGCCGTCGTCGTCGCCGTCGTCGTTGTCGTCGTCGTCGGGCGCGTCACCGTCACCGTCGTCGTCGTCGTCGGCGGCGGCGGCGTCGGCGTCGGCGTCGTCACCGTCGTCGCCGCCGCCGTCGCCGCCGCCGCCGCCGCCGTCGTCGTCGTCGTCGTCGTCGTCGTCGTCGTCGTCGTCGTCGTCGCCGTTATCGTCGTCGTGTTCGTCGTCGTCGCCCTTGTCGTCGTCGCCGCCGCCGTCTTCGTCGGCGTCGTCATTTCCGTCGTCTTTGATTGCCATTGGCGACGGGTTGGGTGGGCTTTTGTTGACCCCTTCCAATGGCAATTCTCAAGGAAAGAGTGGGGGGGGCTCCCTGCCCCTGCCCGAATCCCCAAATC